GCCCTCATGGAGCTCACCATCCATCGGACCAACTCCGTGCTCTGTGTTACTGTGCTACCTGTCCTGAGGACCTTGTTGGGGGCTGTGAGCAAGTAGCCAGGCGCTAACTCCTCTCTTGTGCCGCAGCGTTCTGAAGATCACTCTGGGAAAAGGGAAGGATGCCGCTCTTCTTCCGGAAGCGAAAACCCAGCGAGGAGTCTCGGAAACGCCTCGAGTACCAGATGTGTCTGGTGAGGAAAAGTGGGTTTCCTCAGACTCCATCCCATCTCCCCCTCTGCCCCATGAAATAGGGCTCCACACTGCCCCCAGACAAACCACGCTCCCTCGCATCTGCCTCCCACACCCCCAGAGGAAATCGTCTCTGGCTCCAACCAGACTATGAGGCCCCCCTCAAGTGCACCTCCCCTCCTGGACTGAGCTAACTTGTCACTACCTGTTCACTTTCTCTTCCCTGCTGGACCTCAGGATCTGGGAAAGCAGCGATCATCGGCCACCTGCAAATGGACTAGTGGAACCAGATTTTGTCTTTGCTTCCTTGCAGCTCCTTAATTCTATGGTTCTTTGCCTGGTTTGTCTACTCTGTGAGGGTGTTTTATTTGAACACTTTTTAAAACAATTCTTTTTTATCTTTAGGCGAAAGAAGCCGGTGCAGATGACATTCTTGACATCTCTAAATGTGAGCTCTCCGAGGTAAACTGAAGCTAGTGTTCGGGCACTGAATTTGATATGTCCTATTTTCTTGGATCATGTTTCCCCAGGAAAGACAGATGTGGACTGGGGCTTTAAAAAGACCAGAAGCACTAGTCAAGAGATGTTTCCATAGATTTTGTTCTTTTCCAACAATAGATATTTTAGCCTCAACATAGTCTCCAAGAGTTAGATTTTAGATGGAATGTGTACGCACCGATCCCTAGGGTACTGGAAAAGACTGGCATTCTGCAGCATCTGATAGGGCTCACCATGGGGACAGGATGTATTGGACAGGGCAGAGCAGGGCAGTCTTCTGCCAGCTACTTGAAGGGAGAGCTGACCACGTCCCCAGCAACATTCCTCCCCAGACTTAGCACTTTCTCCCCATGAGCATTTTGCTCTCGTTTACCTCCTGCCCATTACTCCCTCACATGAATGCTGCTCAGAGAACAAATTAACTGGCAGAAGGGGAGATACTTACACTTTTT